TTTTTTTTTTTTTTTTTGTAAGAGCAAATACCGCAAATATATCTATCCAAAAAGAACATATTAGGACTTGGTCATCTCTTTGGACTTCATTCCCAATGTGCTAGGGACTGACTTTTTAGTTTTGCTCAGGGGTAATGAAATGTGTATTCAATGGGGTCTTTCAGCAGCATGACACTGTATGCTTGAGCCTATGCAAACGTGCATATCCCAAGTGGCCAGAACATCGGTTCCTGCTGGATGCTTGATCAGGCAGGGCCTGGTCCTCATCAAGACAGAGAAGACATGCTTGTTCATGGTGGGAATGAAGCGCTGGTTCAGATTTGTCTATTCAACTTCCATTGGTCGTTGTTGTTGATAGATTACATGCAATTTGCTTTCCATTACCTTTATTTTCTTATTTATGGAGGACATATATGGATGAGGACTATGCAGCAATGCAGCGCTCCTCTCGTCGAAGACTCTAGTGGGAAGAAAGAAACAGAAAGAGAAAAGCCTAATTTTTGTATTTTGATATCAATTTTTCTTCTTATAGTACCTATAAAGAGAAAAAGCGGGAAAGGTCCTTTCTCTTTCCTTGATATGTTTTTGAAAAATGATTGGTATACACTCGATTCAATACATTTTTTAACACATTATTGATTTAGTGATTAAAAATATAATATAAATATAATTAATTTAATCAATTTTTTTGAGATAAGACATTTACTTAAACCTTTTTATATGCATGATTGAGTTGTTATAATTAAAAAAATCTAAAAAATAAATGATTGTAAATGTTTATTCATCTCAAATTATTGATAAAAGATTAATTATAAATGTGAAGTCACATCGAAAAAAGGAAAAAGAAAAAAATAAGAAATTTAATATCAAAAGAGAAATTTTTATTCGTGTGTTGAATGATGGGTACACAACAAAAATAATGGTACTCTAATTTAAACCAAGATTTAAGATGTGTTCGTAGTAACCATTGATCATGTTTTGTGAGATCCGAACGAACCATCGATGGCCGAAAAAATTTTAGGTTAAATTCTATTTTGGTCCTTTGACTCTGAGTTTTGGACTGAGTTGGTACTTAAACTTCAAAAACTAGCAAAATCATCCTTAATCTCTAATTTTCAGCCGCCCTGGATCGGTAAGTAACCCAAAAATGCAAAATTTTAAACCTAAAATATTACATGGAAATTATAAAATTATTTTAGCAATGAGGTGGATATTTTTAAACCTAAATTTTTCTTTGTTAACATAGGACTTCTTATGTTTTTTTTTTTTTTTTTTTTTTTTTTTTTTACAAATTTTGATAGTATATTAATTAAAGAATAACTATTGGGAATGGGCCCAACACTCAATCTGGGCCATGTATAGTAGGCCCAGTTGTTTGTCATTGAGCCCAAAAGGAGGATGCGTCCATACACCAGTCCAAATGTACACCAGTCCAGATGTACTCTAGTCCAGACATACCCACATGGATTCCTACATGTGGACTAGTCAAATGTTTACACGTATGGCCTTATGTCATCACTCGGAGCTATAAATACCCCCATCTACCGCTGCTCAAGGTAATAACTCCACTACGCTTCTCTCTCTAGAATATTGAGTATTGTTAACTTCAGTGTTAGAGTGTTTTCCTTGAGGAAACATCTCGGGCTTTTCAGGTGTTGAAGCAATTGAAGATTCTTACAGTGTAGGTTTGTGAAGCTGCCCGAACAATAACTAATTAATTTAAATATGGTGGGACTCACACACTTTAATAATAACTCTTTTTTTATCATAATAATGGGAGTAGTACTAATTACATTACTCTATTATCTTTTTAGAAATACAATTAACCTTACCCTATTACAATATACTTTTAAAAACAAAATTATCTTAACTACTATTTCTTAATAAACTAAATTTAATATAATGGGATCCACTCTAAATTAATCTTCCTCCCCTTCCCCAACATCTTTCTCCCTCACTTCGGGTGTCTCCCTCCCTTCTCAAGCAATATCACAAGTCATGAAGTCATTCAAATTTCATAATGAAATCTAAATCTCTTTTCCATAGGAATACAAGATTTCTCTGGAATTGGTTTTTCAAAACAACTTACACAATCATAATGCAAGACATATAGGTTAGGTTGTACATAATCCAATTTTATTAGTATGTACAAATTAGATGGAAAACAACCATTCTTTTTAAATTAAAATATGATAAAGGTCCACCATTTTGATGTCTATATATATATATAAGACCTACAGCAACAAATTCAAATGAGCAAAACACAAATAACTAAAAAATTACAGATGATTGGTTGATTTTAATAAGTACACTAGATACAAACATACAGTTGAAAAGAGAATGACACAAGACTATAAAAAGTTTCATGTATCTAAGTACTTACGATGATTTAAGCTAGTGTCTAACATTTTCATCTTTGTAGTTGTTGATGATATGTTGTTCTAGACAATTCAATCCAAGATATTACATCTGGAACAATGGTAATTAATACCCTCATTATCAAATACTGAGCTTTAAATTCAATTGTGTTGAACAATAGTGATGGATCTTTGGGAAATGATGTACGAAACTGAACCCACCAAAGCACATAACAGGTTATTGTAACTAGCCATTCTCTTTTGTACACTCGGGGTTCAAAACCGGCCAACACCATAATACCATGTTTGGCGACAGATTGAATAGCCCAAATCTTGTCTTTGATTCCTCTGGTCTTTGTAAAGGGCGAAAACATATCTTTGGGAAAAAAGTTTCGTAACCAGAAACAAAAAACGATATAACTGATTATTACAAATAACCAATCTTTATAATTGGTCATGGAAGATGTGATAAAAACAAACCTAGACATGCCATGTGCAATATTTACAACCATCAAAATCAAACCATTGATTCCTTTGGTATTTGTAGAGAGCATCGAGACATCTTTGGATTTATGATAGAACTTATAGAGACTTCGAAGCATAATACCGATTGTAACTAACCAGTTTTTATAGTCAAATAGGGGAGATTTGATGTTAGAAGACATGAAGATACTATTTGCAAAATATATAGTAGTTGATGAAGAAATAAAAAACACACTAACGCTTTCAGGTGTGGTATTTGTATCAGGATCTTCTTCCAAATCCAACCAGTACTTATTTAACCAGCTCTTGAAACTGAACAATACAAAACAGATGGAAGCAACTATCCATGTGGGAAACTTCAACTCATAGCAGTTGTAAGTAATAGATCCAATGACTCCAATGATAAAACTAAACAACCCCAGATCTGTTTGCGGTCGTAATACCACTAGTACACATAGAAGAAAAACTGAGATGCACAACATAGCACTGAGGCCCCTCAAGGAATTATCGTAAAATTTTGCAACAAGAAGTGCTGCAATAAAAAAGATGAAGTTTGATATTGAATTTACCATGCAGCTGCTCTTTCCATGAAGAATTTTAAATTGACTCCAATGCTTTGAATATGTTAATGGGCTAAGACCAATAATCATCAATAACAACATTTTGAATCCTCTTCTATCATATTTTGAACTTAACTCTGTATTAAGTAGAAGAAATATGGCAGAGAACAAGGCGAGTTTACCAACCAGTTTGGCCTTTAGCTGACCCTTTGCCACCTCGTTGTGGAGATGCATCTCAAGGGCTTCCGATAGATTCTTCATCTTCTCAATAATAGGATCTAGCAAAGATCTCATTGTTGATTGGAAATACACCTTGAGGGCTTTCCATTGATTTCTCACCTCCTCTTCAATCCAATCTTGCAAAAGTATTACCCTATAAATAAGATTGGTTACTGTCAATAATGGATGAAACTTGATAACCATCCTCACAATCCGTGGCACTGCAACTGAATCTCTTATATCTTCCATTTGGGAGAAAGGTGAGAAAGAACTGGTAGCACAGGTGGTTATTATGATGAATTAATTCTACATGGTGTAAAATAAAAGTCTGTTTCCCAAGTACAAGTTGGCGTCGAATTCAAAAATAATTGGTTGATAATATGTATTAGTCAAAGGTTTTGGTGGAGACATTGATTAGTATTGAAATGTGAATTGGTTCTTCCTTGGTGGGACTTGTGTAGTGGACCTTCCATGAACTTGCATTAGTGCTACTGTTGGTATTGAAATTTGGCGTGGATCTCCAAAGTCAAGTCGTCATTTGCCGTGCTTCTGGGTCATTTGACGTGGGGAGTGGGGACTTCTGTTCACTTTGATTAGTATTGGCATTTGATCGTCACTTTCCTTACTAGCCATGTTCATTTTCTTCTCATTTGAATGTTGTCCACAAGTGGATGCTTTTGCAAATAATTCTTTTTAATGAAAATTTTTTATAACTTTATGGCATAAATTAAGAGTATATTATATGATAAATCAAATGATTGGATCCACTAATAGTTGAATGTCATCTTGTAGATCATATTTAGAGTTCAAGTTTACGAGTCAGCATTTAAAAATATTTATTTTTTTAATACACTAAGCTAAGTAAGTGATGTGACCTTAAAATTATTTTAAAAAAATTAGTCTTAAAATAAGCAAAAGCAAATGTCTAATTACTTTTACTTTTATAAAAAGTAGACAATAGTTTTAAAACTAATACTATCTAAATGGTTTTAATTAAACATTGATAAAATTAAAAAGATAGGAGATTTACCCAAAATTTTATTTTAAAATTTGATATGAAGAATTATTACTCATATAATATGAGATAACTCACCCTTATCAAACCCCTCCTCCACCTATTTAGAATTTGAAAAAAAGACTTCTAACATAAACATTCAAATTTCACCAAAAAATAATGATCAAATGTTCAAGTTCTTAACCACTAAAACATTTGCTAAAGTTGTTGCGTGATTCATCCATGTGTGCATGATTGGTTCATCTCAAAATTACCAATAAAAAGTTTCAAAATTGTTAATATCCTGTCCGTACATTAGCCAATATTAGCCCTTTCCTCCCACAAGCCACAAACTTAATACATTAGGAGGCATTCAGATCAATATGCTCCAACTTGGCTATATCCTCTATTGTTATGCAAAATGTCTAAATATTTTCTCCTGGAGGCAACTCTGCAAGCTTTGGAGGAGTTCAAAGTACTCTTTCCATGTCAAATCGGACTTCAATATGACGGCTGCTGTATCCAACCACCATCAGCCAGTAAAGAAGCTTGGTAAGTTCTGAAGCTAGTCTCTGTTAGACTTGTCTGCAACACGTTAAAAATGAAATTAAGAACAAGAAATCAAATGTCAAATAAAATGGCATGATTATTATATCTCAGAAGATGATTAATTTCTTCACGCATAGAACCAAGTTATTTCCAAGCAAATATTGATTTAGTCCAGACTAGAATAAATGACTAGAAAAGAATAATGTTATGGGTCTTTTAGTCATTTCAGTCCAGACTGGCGGCACTTTAACTGAAAAACAGTTTTTTCTTCTCTATTACCAATATGTGTGTGTGTGCATGGAGTATGGTTTTAGCTACGCATTCAACAAAATGATCTTATTTTGAAAAACCTTTGGATAGTTGTTTGATAATATGGGAAAA